AACCACTAACTACTAACTATTTTAATCTCAAAATAAGATAAAACATTTGTCAGATCTGAGCCACCAATGCCTTCCTCTAAACAAAAGCTCTTACAGTAAAAATGCACTGGTAAGATTTGCCCACTCAAATCTCATAAAGCCCATGYTGTTGCAAGAGCTAAGAAAACCTAGCTCTTTAAATAGAGTAATTCTGGGCTAAGAACATTAATGGCATCCCAGAACTGGAAAGCTRGATGTGTAAATTAAAAAGCAAAAAKCACATATACACTCTTAATATCCTAATACTTATYACATGTGATCTCTTTCAAAGTAGCTTTAAATGAGAAGTGCAGTTACTCTTTGATATAGCTCCTGGAAACATAGTCAGGATGCCCTTTGTTACAAATTTTAAAAATGAGTCCTCATTTCAAAAAGGCTCATAACAAATGAGTCTTCAAAACTAGCACACATTATTCCCTTTTTGTTTTTTCTCCATTTAAAACATAAATCTGTACCAAATACAGAATATTTGCCTTCACTGCAGAATCCTCTTGACTTAAATGTTGGAAAAAATCCTTTCAGCCACCATGACAGAAATGTCCAAACATGCAATGAGAAATACTCTCCACACCACACCTAAGTTGCCTCAAGGCTGTGAGGAACAGGCTTCATCACCTTGGACCCAATGGTCTCAGCAGCATCTGGAGGCCACAGCAGGTGACCCACGCCAATGGACAYGGCCATGGAGTGTGAGCCACGGTGTCTGCAATCCAAACCTGGACGCAGGACAATCCAAAGATGTGCTAGATACCTGGACACTGTGCTTCTGGAAACACTGGAAAGGGACTGCACCACCAAGGTGACCATCTGCCTGGTACAACACAAGAGKGGAGGAAGACTGGGTTTTCCCCTAAAATAATCCTGATCTGTTATTTACAACTTTCCCTATGGCATCCATCAGAAGAGCAGAGAGACTCTTTAAACACAACGATGCATTCATTCTCACAGGTTTTAAAAAAAGAGTCCTAGAAGTATTATCCTTGTTTTAGAGGCACAGAACAGGTTCTTATTTCTAAACACATCCATACAACCTGAGGCAGCCCGGGGCTGGCTCCCCGGTGATGCTGTGCAGCAGCAGCATGTGCAGGACACCGCGGCAATAACTCTGCAGAGCCAGGGCTAATCATCACATCCCTGCTCTGGCCCTGCTCACCCCATGTCCAGAAGGAGGAGGATTTATTTGCTTCAGAAAGAATTTGGGAATTCAGCCTCTATATTCAGCTTGCACATAAATCACGGATGTTATCTAAATGGGGTGGCAAATGCGGACCCRGGGAAGGCGCATAACTGAGTCGCATTGCCTTGAAAAGGCACGGAAAAAGCTTGATTTGAGACATTTTAAAACCTAACGTTCTTTGTAGTGCTTTGCAGTCCCCAGGGCGCAGCGGGAGCCCGGTGACCATCGCCGTGGGCAGCGTGTGCGGGGCGGCAGCGAGGATTCCCGTGGCGCACCCCAGCTGTGTCACCGCTGCCCCGCACGGCTCAGAACGGAGTCCCGCTGCCCCTCAGCAGCGGGGTGCGCTCCYGGCCCGCCGGGGAGCCCCGGGGTACAGCGTGGGCTGCCGCAAAGGGCGTCTGGCCCCCGGCGCACCCACCCCTCGGGGGGCCGCCCTCGACATTTCTTCCCAGGGGGAGAAAAAACCGCGGAGAGTTTGCCTAGAAAGAGTCCCTTGGAACCTCCGAACCGGCCTCTCGGGCGGGAGAAGGGGTCTTTTTGCCGCTGTTTGCCCGTTTGCCGGGCAATATAAMGGAGCTCTGCCCCGCGGCCGCGCAGCCCTGGCCCCGCCGCGATCGTGGACGCTCTGTCGGGCGGCTCTTCCCGGCGGAGTCCGCTTGGCTCCACAGCCCGGCGGCTTTAAACAAAAGGGCTGGTCTGTTGTTTCGTTGCTTGATTTTTATTTTTTTTTCTTTTCTGAAAACAACTGCAACCGCCTTTTGCAAGAATATTTTTTTTTCCTTTCCCTCCCGCCAGTCCCCCCGACCACCATGTGCTCCCCCCKCTCCCCCTTGCCTCCGACTGGCACGTGTCCAGGATGGAGGAATTTCCCTCCCCCCCTTTTCTATTATTATTTATTTATTTMTTTAATTTTACTTTATTTCCACGGCACATTTCGGCTCCAGCTCCCCAAACTCTTTGATCTCCCCCGCTGTCTCCTTACCCGGAAGAAAACCCCGGCTCTCTCAGCTGGGAGCTCGGCGCACACGTGGGCGCCCTGGCGCGCCTCCATGCTCCTGCCAAATTTAGTCACACAAAGGGCTCGGGGGGGGACCGGGGGGGGATGAAAGGGGCCGCCGGCGGGACATCAAAGGCGCCGCCGCCCCGCCCCACTCCCGCCCTTTCCTATATAGGGGGCGCCGGCGGCGGACTCGGCTTCGCACGCGAGAGTGTCGTGTGTCCCCCCGCCCCGCTTATTGAGCCCCGCGGGGTTGTCACTGGCACCCCGTTTCTCCCCTCTCCCCGGTCAGCCCCCCTGGAGCTCTGCGGGGGTCGTGCCGCTGCCCCGAGTGCTGGTGCTCAGCCCGCCACGGGGCCGGTTTTCCCTCCGTGCTCGCCGCCTCCCCCGCCCCGAGTACGGGCGAGCCGGGCTGGCCGTCGGGGTCTGCTCCAARTGCGGGATCGTTCAAATCTGATATGCAATAAAACCGCAACAAACAGAAACTCCACAACTCCCGCTGAAACGCCAAGAGCCACTCAAACGACCAAAATGAGGCAAAACCCGTCCACAACTAAAAAACAAAACAAACAAACAAAAAACACCTCCCGAATCACGGGAAAATACGAACTCACGCGAAAATGAAAAGAGGGAGAGAAAGAAAAAAAAACACCCAAAGTGCAAAAATCACCCCTATGAAAGTACCAAACGGCGCAGTAGCCGCTGCGGAGCCGGGTGCCGGGCACGGCGGTGGCCACGCTCCCGGTAGCCCGGGAAGGGCGGCGGGTCCTGCCGGGGGCGAGAGCGGGGCCACCGTGGGGTGTCCCCACACCCCGGGCCTTGCCCCCCGCCCCCGGCCGTGCTCCACGAACTGCGAGTAAAGCGACAGCTTTGTGTCGTCTCCAGTCAAATCTGACGTTGGAGTTGAGGTTTCCTGAGTTTATCTTCTTGTCATAAATCATTACGGTTTCCACACACACATCACACCGCCCCGGTCCCGCCGCCCCCATCCCGGCCCTCTTTTGCCTTCAAAATCTTTCCACCAAAAAACCGATCCGGGAAAGAATCCAGCCCACGTGAAGGGACGGCGGAGGGGCGGGGGGAGGCTGCTTTTCCAGAGGGACCCGGTAATGAAACAGAGGAGTGGCCGCGCTGCCGGCTCCTCCGGCGGACTCCCTGCCTGCCCYCGGGCCGCGCCGCCCCGTCGGGGGAGCGGGTTTCAACGCTCAGCCGCTCGCCGAAGGTCTTTATTTCCAGAACGGGACCGTCCCGGGGCAGCTTTGCCCGGCCCGGGTGTCCGGTGCCCGCCGAGCGCCAGGAAAGGGAAGAGAGGCGGGAGGGATGCGGAGATGTGCATCTCCGCTCAGGAACCGTCCCCGAGTTGTCTGTCGTTTTCCAAACAACCGCTTCCCCATCGGCTCTCTGCAGCCGTCTCCGGGAGACAGGGGGTTTCCCTGCATCTGGGGAGTGTTGCACAATTAAGCCCCTTCCCAGGGGTTACGTTTCTAATTTCTTTCTTTCTCGATAATTTATTTCACGCACTTGTTCGTCTTGGCAAGTCCATTCCCCGTTTCCCACTACCTTTCTCCCTTTCTCGGGGTTTGGAGGGTCTCATTTCTCAGCTGGATTTTAATTACCCGTTCGTGGACGATGACGCAGAGCTGCGGGCGGCGGCGTGGGCAGCCGGGCTCAGCCCGCCCGTGTCCCGGCCGGCAGCGTCGCCGTGCCGAGCCCAGCATCTGCTGAAAACGGATKGAGCATCCGCATGCTCCCGTTCCTCCGGCTCCCGGCGCTTGAAGGTTTAGCAACCTGACGGGGCATGTGCAAAGCACCAAGCACACTTTTCCGATGCCAAAATACTGGGAAGTTGTTTCCTGCAAAATGTGCGCCCATCGCATTCGCAAAGTAAAAGTTGCGGATCCTGACGTTTCCCAAGCGCAGCGCCTGCTTTTGTCTGGATGRKTTTTTTTTTTACTGTACTCGTGCCCTGTTGCAGGGCGATGCCGGATCAGCCGGGAGCTAACGGGGCAGCGAGGTGCTGGAAGAACGGGACAGGGTGGAGAGGTGAATCTCCGTTAAGCTCTAGCTCCTTTTACCAGTCAGAAACAAGGACGAGCTCACCCGGCGGGTTTTTCCCTCTCTCGGGGRTTACTACTCGTTTTTGCCGGACACTCGCTGGATTCAATGGGGTTGTCTTAATTCTGAGCTTCGTCCGAAGCGGGCGTGGGCAGAGCCTGGTCAATCCCTCGTACACTTCCCAAACTGGAGCAGCGCCATGTGGCGACGGGAAAGGCTCAACAAAGCAGCCCTAAAAAAGCCCGTCTGTCCGCCCTTCCCGGGGATGCAGCTAATGCCTGTGCCCTCCTCGGCGGGCTCTTGACTGAGGAGGGAGATAAGCGGCAGTGCCCCGGCGCACCCCCCGCGACGCGGACACGCACACATGTGCGTGTAGACACACGCACGGACACACAGAGCGGCTACGCCGCGCAGCCAGAGCAAAGTTTGCCCGGGGGTAGCCCCGCACTCGCTGCTCCCCCGTTCCCCCCCCGGTCCCCTCCTCCCTCCCTGCTGGCTCTGTCCCCGGCCCCCTCCTCTCCCCGCCCCCGCGGCCCGGCCCTCCCGGCCCGGACACGGTGTCAGTCACGGCGGCGGCTCCTTTCATCTC